CGCGGTCGCTGGCTTCCCTGCAGTCGTCGCTGGCTTCCTCGCAATTGTCACTGGCTCCCTCACGGTCGGTCGTCGCTGGCTCCCTCGCGGTCGGTCAGTCTTGAAAAAGTTGTTGTCCGGGTCCAAGTTGTTCTCAGGGTCAAATGTCTTGTGGTCAGTAGGGTTGGAAGTCATCAAAGGGTTCGAAGGGTCATCAAAGGGTTCGAAGTCCATGTTTTTTGGTATGTGAATTTCCTGCTTCAGTAGGGTCAGTTTTTGTCGTCGGGTGGTGAACAGTTCTCAGTATGCCGCTTGATGGTGTTGAACTCGAGCCTGTTGTGTTGGAGTACTGGTGCGAGGGTGGACGATAAGTTTGTCATGTCTTAAGTAGGCAGTTTCCCCTCTGTCACGTGCAGCTTTTAATTTTGGGAGGAGCTCTTTTCTTTTTTGTCGTACGGTATCTGTAAAGTCTTCGTTGATGTAGATGTTGGAGCCTTTTAAGTATTTTGCTTTTTGTAGGATCCTTGTTCTGTCTTTGTATTTTTGAAATTTCACCACAACTGACCTTGGTCGAGGTCTTCCAGGTTCATGTCTTCCTGTGCGGTGAGCTCTCTCCACCTCAATTTGTCCCTGTAACAGCAGCTTTTCCTTGAGGATTTTTTGAACTTTTTCCTCTGTTTCAGTCCACGTTTCTCCCGGTGTTTGAGCTATCCAGCTATATATATCACAGAGAGCTGTGATGAAAAGCCAGATACCTGAGAGGTACATCCAGATGACCATATCTGAAGCACTCGAAACTGCCAAACAAAGGCTCCAAGCCTTGTCCAGTCGCCTAAAGAGGTACACGAAAGAGAATGAGGCCAGACGAATAAACAAGCTGTTCGCGACACAACCTGCGAAAGTGTACGCATTAACACAATTCCCATTCTCCTGCCCCCCATACGACGAAAACCCCCATGTTGCTTTATTCGAAATCATTTTCTCTGCTCCAGCCTCGCGAAGACATTCACTACAACGAAGTCTTTTCCAACAGCGACCTCTACTGCTTCGTTCGAAAAAAGGCAACAGCAGCCACCACACTGGTTTACATCGTGAGCGATGTTTCCTGGACTCAACATACTCATAGCTGCTCTGCCATTGCCTTACCGAGAATCATCCTGGCCTCCGATTGGCCAAGAGGGACGTCACTGTCTATGTGTGTAGATACTGAAGATCTGTAGCATCCGATTAGCTGCTCAGAGTAAATAGCTTATGGCTCGACGGACATTCAAATAAACGAACGTTTCCTCGAATGCTTTACTTGTTATCATCCTAAAAACAGCCACGGGACGCTTCGTAGTCCTTGTAATGTTATTGAAGAATGTCCACTCAGAGAGTTGTGCTTAACAGAGGTTCTTTACTAGTCGCTCGGGAACAGTGCAGGCCAGTTATGTCAGTAACGAAGACATGTTCTCTTCGCATGCACGAGGTCGGTTGCTATAGTAACCCGATAGCAGCTCTTTACGACATGTCGTACTGCTGTCGTAAAGTTCAATGCATATAGTCCTTATATGACATCTCCCCCTTTTTTTCTTTTCTTGGGGTTATCTTTTTTTTTCGTTCACATTTCAGACAAAAATGACTTTCCTTAGTGCAAAAATACCTTAACATACTGAATATACAAACAGCAACACAATCAGCCAGTGACTACTTTCTCGTTTTTGACATCTTTCACAACTTTTTTTTTCTTTTTTTTTTTTTCCACAACACATTTTGATCTGTTTGGGCAGCGTTCTTCGTACACCCTCACAGATTCAGTCTGTTCGCTGGTTTACTCAGCCTGCCGGACCGCGTGAATAGCTGTCCATCTTGCGTTTGTGGCAAGCTCGTTATGGGAGTAGCCAAGGTGTCTGGTGGCGTTTCAGCCCGTTGGACATTAGCTTCCGGATGAGGATGTTGAAACTGTGGGGGTGGAGTATCACCAGAAGAAGCAGGCACACACAGGAGGTGGCGACGGTTGCGTCTCAGAGTCGCCCCCTTGTGCGTCTCGATGACATAGGATCTTGGAGTCGCGCCGTCACCAGTAACGACAGCCGGTGTTCCCAAGCATCCTGATGATCCAACTTTGTGAGAACAGAATCGCCAGTTCTCAAAAGGGTTAAAGGTCTTGTACCATGACGTTGATTGAAGTAGAAGGCTTGCTTCTGTTTCTCCCTTGCATCCTTGCTTCTTACGGCAACTAGATCTGGCCATTGGGGTTGGAGATTCGACTCTAGCGTTGGGAGTGTTGTTTTAATCCTTCTCCCCATAAGCAGTTCTGATGGACTTACGCCTGTGGTTGCGCATGGGGTGGAACGGTAACACATAAGAGCAAGTAATGGGTCTTTCTGTTTTAGAATCCTCTTCGCAATTTGCACACTCCTTTCTGCATGTCCGTTGGCTTGTGGACAATGCGGGCTCGAAGTAATGTGATGAAAGTCGAAGTCACGGGAAAACTTACGGAACTCCTCACATGCAAATTGGGGTCCGTTGTCCGAAACAATCTGGTCCGGGCAGCCATAGCGAGCGAAGAGTGATTTGAGCTTCAATACGACCTGTGAAGCAGTTGTTGTTGACATATGGAGTATCTCGATGAACCTGGAGAAATAATCGGACACTACCAGGTAGGTTTGCTTGTTGTAATCACAAAGGTCGATTGCAAGTCTTTGCCAAGGTCTTTCAGGCATAGAAGTTGAGATGAGGGGCTCCTTACGCTGGGTGTGTTTCATCTCACAGCATGTTTGACAGGACTCCACTTTCAGTTTGATGTCAGTGGAGATTCCGGGCCACCACACGGATGCATTGGCCCGCTCCCTGCATTTGGTTAGGCCCTGATGTCCATCATGGATCCGATCCAAGATGTCACCTCTCAACGGGGCCGGAATTAATATGCGACATCCGTAGTGCACTGTAATGGGCTACGGGACAGCGCATCAGCCACGGTAAGAGTCTTGCCTGGTGCATATTCAGCTGTAGGCTTAAATCTCATAAGTCTCATTAAGAGTCTTTGGCAACGCATTGGAACGTTATCCAGATCCTTTTTATTTATCAACGGTACCAAAGGTTTATGGTCGGTGACCAATTTGAAGTTCTCCAGCCCAACCAGGTATTTCTCAAACCTTTCGCATGTCCAAACACTTGCCAGACATTCCTTTTCTATCTGGGCATATCTGCTTTCGGCATCTGACAAGCGACGAGAACAGTAAGCGACCGGTTTCCAGTCCCCGTCGTGTTGTTGTAGCAGTACACCTCCGATGCCATAACTGCTTGCATCCGCTGATACAGTAGTAGGTCGGTTCACATCATAGAACTTGAGTACGGGAGATGTAGACAGAATGACTTTGATATGCTCGAATGCCTTTTTCTGCGGGTGATCCCATGTCCATGTGGAATTGGACCTCAACAGTTCGTATAAGGGTTGACCCACTGTTGACAAATGAGGGATATACTTCCCCAAGTATGTGAACATGCCCAGGACACGTTTCAGATCCTGGACGTTCTGTGGTTCTGGGACCTCTTTGATGGCTTTTACTTTTTCAGGGTCAGGTTTTACTCCTGACTTGTCAATCAGTTGACCCAGGAAGTGGAGTTGGTTTTTCCTGAACACGCACTTGTCTCTGTTCAACTTCAAACCTGTCAACTTGATTCTCTCCAGTACCCTGCTTAGGTGCTCGTTGTGCTGTTCTGGTGTGTCGCCATAAACTAGTATGTCATCCATGTAAATTGCCACTCCATCAAGATCACTCAGGGCCTCCATCATTTTCCTCTGAAAGATTTCTGGAGCGCTGGTGATGCCGAAAGGCAGACGTTTAAACGCGTACCTTCCAAAAGGCGTAATGAATGTGGTTAACTCGCTGCTTTGTGGATGGAGGGGTATCTGCCAGAACCCTGAAGCCACGTCAAGTGACGTAAACGTGGTTGCGCCACACAGTTTTGCAGTGATTTCCTTGGCAGTCGGGAGGACAAATCTTTCTCTCTTCACCGCCTCATTTAGCTTTTTCAAATCCACACAGATGCGCACTTGGCCATTTTTTCTTGGGACAGGCACCATTGGTGCGCACCAGTCTGTTGGGTCAGTTACCTTTTCAATTATCTTGTTTTTCTCCATGCGCTGCAATTCCTCTTTTACCTTACCCAAAAGCGGCAGAGGGACTCAACGAGCTATGTGAACTGCATACGGTTCTGCTTTATCTTTGAGTTTTATTTTAACTGACTCTGTCTTAAGAGTTCCATGCTCGCCAAATGCATTGTGCACTTCCTCAATGCATTTCACTAGTCCCATTGCGCATGCTGTCTCTTTGCCTAGCAGGTTATTAGACGTCTGGCTGTGGACCACAAACACTGGAAATGAATAGTACTTTCCTTTGTACTTTGTATTTGCCTGGAATTTTCCAACACAGTTTAGCTGACCACCAGGGCTATTCATTGGGGGATATTGGACTGCACAAGTTTCTTTTCAGGGACTAACATGTCGAATGTCTCTTTCTCCATGATGTTTAAATCTGCTCCAGTATCAATTTTAAATTTAACTGGTGTTGCACCGATGACTATTTCTACAGTCCATTTATCACTCTCTTTGGTAGTGTCTGTGAGCCCCAAGGAAATATGGTGTCTGTGAAACAGTCTCCTCATCCGTCACTTCTTTGATGGACTTGCTGTGGCACATTCTTTCCCAGTGACCCACCTTTTTGCACTTGTTGCATGTAGACTTCATGGCTGGACATTTACTTTGTTCTCTATGCTTAATTTTACCACATCTTCCACATTTTTGCTCAGTATGCTCCCCACTCACTTGCTTTTTATTTTTCCACTGCTGCTTCCCTCTGAATGCAGTTTTCGGATGAGAGACCTCCTGCACCGCTGCGCACGCCTCCCCTTGCTCGTGCACTTGCCTCGTCACCTCCTCGGACTGGCGTACGGCCTGAACGGTCTGAGCTAGTGTGAGCTGTGACTCAAGCTGCAGTTTACGAGACATCTCTTTGTCGATTATTCCCACAACGATGCGATCCCTGATGTGCTCCTCTCTGTGTATCCCAAAGTCACAATGTTCCGACAGTTCGTACAAAGCTCGGATAAACATTTCGACTTTCTCACCGGGCCGCTGTACTCTCTGGTGGAAACACGGTCGCTCGTGGATAACATTCCTCTTCGGGTAGAAGTATTCGTCGTATTTTCCTAACACGACATCGAATTTCGTCTTGTACGCTTCATCCACAAAAGTGAAGGCCTTGAAAATATTCTCCGCCTCCGTGCCCATAGCGTAGATCAAAGAGCTTACTTGCACCTCGCCGTCCTCGTTGTTCAATTTCGTCGCCACACGAAAACGCTGAAACCGCTGCTTCCAATCAGCCCATTCCGTCGGGCGGTCGAACGGAAAGCTTCCCGGGGGGTTAAACTTTGCCATTATCCGAAGCTGGGGGTGTGTCGTCGACTTCTGACACCATGTAATGTTATTGAAGAATGTCCACTCAGAGAGTTGTGCTTAACAGAGGTTTTTTACTAGTCGCTCGGGAACAGTGCAGGCCAGTTGTGATGTAATGAAGACATGTTCTCTTCGCATGCACGAGGTCGGTTGCTACAGTAACCCGATAGCAGCTCTTTACGACATGTCGAACTGCTGTCGTAAAGTTCAATGCATATAGTCCTTATATGACAGTCCTCGATGGCCTTAGTTAGCTCTCGAAAGCTAAAAACCTTAACGCTAACTGGAGCGCTATGAGAGAGAGGCGCTCCAGTTAGTGTAAGGTTTTTAGCCTTCGAGAGCTAACTATGGCCATCGAGGACGACGAAGCGTCCCGTGGCTGGGTTAAAAGGTCA